TCCTGAGTTCAATTCCCAGCAACCACATGGTGGCTCACAGCCATCTGTAATGAGATCTGGTGCCCTCTTCTGGCATGCAAGCATACATGGAAGGAATGTTGTGTAAATAATAAATAAATAAATCTTAAAAAAAAAGAAAAGAAAATCCTCTCCCCAAACAAAACACCTGGTTCCTAAAGTTTCTTTTTTACCCTTTTTCTTTTCTTTCTTTCTTTTTTTTTGCTTCATGTTTAGATCCATATTGTTTCGAATTAAAAATATTATTTGTGAACTGCTTCATATATTTATATAATTTTGATCATATCTATCCTCATTACTCTCAATTTATCCCATTCCTCCTGAACATCTTATTTCCCACCAGAATCCCCTCACTTTTCTACCCCTTTCTCTCTGTTAGTATGTTAGTGTTAGGAATTAGGGCTGTTAGTGTGAGCATGGGTGAGGATTTATTTACCAGAGCATGGGCCACTTGCATTGACTACAGCACTGAAGAACTGTCCACTGCAAAACAGCTTCTCTGACCAAGGCTAAGAGCAGCACAATCTGTGGAATGGACATAAATAGTTAGAAGGCAACATGACAGCATGTTCATTTAGCAAAACAACAGCAGTAGGTTCCTCCTAGGGCCCGTGTCCTTCCTGTGTGGAAAAGGGTTCAAATCAGAAGGCAGTTGTCTACTTCCTTAAAGTCATGTTGCTGTGTTCCCAGGGTCATATCTTGCCTGGCATGTCAGCATTGGAGCATGCAGGGTCATAGGTTAAGATGCTGGTGATTTTTCTTCCCCATCAGCCTATATACACCTTCTGAGTAGTATGAAATCTAGCTGCAGGGAAGAAGCTTCCAGCCCAGTTCCAACCTAATGTCTCTTAAGTCTTACAACCAAGGTGTGTGGTGTTTAACAAAACAATCTATTAGCAATAGCTTTTATTGTTCTGTGGCCTCTGGTGTCTCTCTGACCAGTGGGAAGTATCCCACATCTGGCTCTGGGGTTTTCATTTAATAACCTGTGCTGGACTAGAGAGATAGTTAAGGAAGTTTGGTTCCCAGTACCCATGTCAGGTGACACACAACCACCTATAACTCCAGTTCCAGAGGGGTCTATTGACTGTGGCCTCTGGGCCACTGTGTGCATATAGAGTACAGACTCACACAAGCACACACATATACAAACATGAAAAAAATCTTAAAAAAATGTGGCTTCTGGAAGCTGGAATTTATTTTTTATGTATGTTGTAGAGATTACCCCTCCTCCGTATTATAAACACACCAGTCTATGCGCTTTTATTATGTGATATTTCATTCGCTATAACCTGCAATGTAGAAGTGAGGGGAAACTGCTGTTGACTTCATCAGAGACTGGCAAGTACAAGTAGCTGGTCTAGTTTTTAATTCTGGTTTGTTCCTCCTTACAGAACAGTGCTCAGAGTCTCAGTAAGTACTGCCTTTCAGGCCCCATAATATGTCCTTGTGCCTCCTACATGCCTGGAATTTGTGTAGGCTGCACAGGGACCAGAAAGGAGAGTTCTTTGTCACAGCAGGAGAAAGCTTTGTCCTCTCTCCTGCACTTAGCAATGCCTCATCAGAAGCTTTCGGCGTTTATGTAAGAAGTTTAATTTTTCTTGAACTTGGGTTTACTTAGTTTTACACTTTTGTTGACTAGGATGTTGTCTTAGTACTAGAAATGTCTAAATGTCTTATGATAAACGCATTCTTTGATGCTGTTAGCTTTGTGTTGTGGAAGAAGTGATTAGTGGGCTTTGTAATGTGGGGAACCTCTTACAACTGTCTTCCATGTCTTCAACTTTGTAATGTGGGGAACCTCTTAACTGTCTTCCATGTCTTCAACTTTGTAATGTGGGGAACCTCTTACAACTGTCTTCCATGTCTTCAACTTTGTAATGTGGGGAACCTATTACAACTATCTTCCATGTCTTCAACTTTCTTCCTTCTTAAATTATTTTTGTCTCCAAAGACCTTGTACCAGGTGCTCCATTCGGAAAAGGTGAGGAAGAGGCTAAAAAATAATTTGCTTACAGAAAAGTGTGGCATAGTGAGAGTGAATGAACATGGGAGGAGAGTGGGGTGGGCACAGAGGGTAAAGTGAGTGAGATGATTTATGCCTCACTTACACATTAGGACTTCCAGTGGATCTTTTTTCTAAGCCATTTTTAAAAAAATGTATACAATGTTCTCCTGCATACGTGCCTGCCAGCAGAGGGTACCAGACCTCATTACAGATGGGTGTGAGCCATCCTATGGTTTCTGGGAATTGAACTCAGGACCTCTGAATTAACCTCTGAACCTTCTCTCCAGCCAGTTTGTTTTTTCTTTAGGCATCTTTGAACATGCTCAAGGCTGTTTAGGGGGAGCATTTTTTTCAGGGTGTTAAAAAGGAGGAGGGCCTTGCGTTTCTAATCTGTTTTCAAGTGTGTATGTTTGATCCAATTTAGTGCTGGAAGGGTCATCAGTGGGAGAAATCTCAGTCTTAACCAGTCATGCTCTTGAATCTGTAAGCTTTTACATGTGTACATGTTTCTACTTAAGGACTATGATGTTATATGTTTTATATATATTAATGCTAGAGATAATTTGGTCTGAAACCAGTTATTCCCTTTTAAAGGGATGTGAGTTACATTGATTAGACAATCATAAGGTTATTTTTCTTGTGCTTCTGCATTTCTTGATTTGTTGTTGCTGTGGTTACTTCTTATTGGCAGGGATTATAAACATTACTTCCATAGTGACTCTTGTTTCTTTCCTGTAATAACTAACACTGAAAAAAAGGAGCTGTTGACAAACAATTAAAATGAAGTTGCTTCTCCTGCCTTCACTGCCAAGCAGGAGGGAGGCAGAGGCAAACAGATCTCTAAGTTCAAGGTCATCCTGGGCTACACACAGAGTGAGTTCCAGGACAACCAGGGCTACCCAGAAAAAAAACTCTTAAAACCAAAACCAAAAGAAACCAAACAAAAAAACCAAAACACAAAAAAGAAGTTGCTTCTGATTATAGTTGTACAGTTTTTGAGTGTCTGAATGTACACAGGAAAACAGTCAAAGCTAGTGTAAAAGGCTGAGGAGATGAGCTTCTAAGTGTTGTAGTCAGTGACTTGAGAACACAGAGATTTAAATTCTGATTCGATTTCCTTAAAAAATTTTTATTTTGTGTGTATGTGTATGTGTGTGTGTGTAGGTCAGAAGACAATTTGTGGGAGTTGATTCTTTCCTTTCTTGTAGTTCCTAGGGATCAAACTCAGGTTGTTAGGCATGGTGACAAGTGCTTTTACTGGTTGAACCATCTTGCTGGCCCTAAATTCCTACGTGATATAGTAAAAGACATTTAGTAACTACCCACTGAAGATTGGGGCTGTTAAAATTACACAATATTGTTTTTCAAGGAAGTACAGATGAACTTTGAAGTTTACTTATCTGCATCTTGTTTTCATTGTGCTGTTATTAAAAATTATCAGCCAGGCTGAGGAGGTGGCTCAGTAGTAGAGCATGTCTAGCATGACTCGGTCCTGGCTTTAATGCCTAGTACCACAAACAAAATTTATTACCTGGGTATGATAGTTTACACCTGTAATCTCAGTATTTGGGAGGTTGAGGCTAGGGCTACAAAATGGGTTTCAGAGCAGCTTGGTCTAGAGAATGAGACGATCTCAAAAATCAACACACCAAACCAAACCAAACCAAACCAAAGCAACCTCCAACCAACCAACCAACCAACCAAAATTGGGGATGTTGCTGGAAAGAGTACTTATCTAGAATGCAAAATCCCAACACCAGAAAGGAAGATCATATCAGTCATGTTAGAAAGATATGTTGTTGATCAGATCTGTTTAATATTTAGAGGCATTGCTTTTCCTGGAACAGTATTTGATAGCCTGGGTGTAGTGGACATTTTATTGTGGAAGTATTTGTATGAGTCAGGCGAACTTGACTTTACTGCAATATGATATGTTGTCCTATATTCATCTGCTATATAATTGATGACTATGTATGTATATGATAAGGATTGAGCGAGCTATTAGAGATAATAGATGGTAAGTACAATCAATGATATGTGTGTTATAGGAAGTGGATTAGTATAGTTCTTATTTTTATTACTTTAATTTAATAATAATTATAATTTTTTAGAAGTCTTGTAAAAATTTGTTTCAGATCCCCCTGGAACTGCAGTTACAGGCATTTGTGAGCTACCTGACATGGGTGGCTGGTAACCAAACTCAGGTCTCTGGAAGAGTAGCAAATGCTTTTAAACTGCTGAGCCGTCTCTCTAGTAATTAACTGCATTTTGAGTCAGGATCTCATCGCATAGGCTGATCTTCAGCTCCCAGTCTTCCCACTTCAGCCTCATGGAGAATGCTACGATTACAGTCATGTGCCACCATGCCCAAAATAGTTATTTGTTTTAATTTAACATTTAAAAACATTTTTGACACTTATTTGTTTTGTGTGTGTTTGTGAGTATGTGTACCAGAGCATGGATGTGGTGATCAGAGGACAACTGGTAGGAGTCAGGGGTTAAACTCAGGTTATCAGGCTTGGCTGTCTCACTGTCTCAACAATTTAGTTCTTAAATATGAGGATCAGGGCCTTGTAGAGAAAAACCTTCTGAGCAAGAGTTAGATAACTCGTGAGTTAGAGGCCTCCCTGAACAGAAAGATTTAAAAGTAAAAGTGGGTTTGAGATATAGTAGTGCAGGGTTAGAGAGCACTTGACTAGCACATAGGACTACTAGGTAAATGAATAAACAACGAAAACCTGTCCGTGGGCCTCTGCGACGCTGGACTAATGCATAGCTTTATGTAGCCAGAAACCTCTTCCATTCTATGAATGCTTTGGCTTTGAAGATCAGATTCCAAGGTCAGCTGCTTCTGTTGGAGGAAGCAGCCTGTTAGGAACCCTCTGCTGTGTTTAGACTCAGGAACTGCAGAACCCTTGGGGTAGGAAGTAAAAAACACAAAAAGCCTTCTGTTTGATTTTTTTTTTTCTTCCAGTGATGCCATCTGCAATTTTGTCATTTGCAATGATTCTCCTCTTCGAGGTCAGCCTGTTATCTTCAATCCTGACTTTTTTGTGGAGAAACTCCGACATGAGAAACCAGAGATGTTCACCGAGTTGGTGGTCAGCAACATCACAAGACTTATTGATTTGCCTGGAACTGAGCTGGCTCAGCTGATGGGGGAAGTGGACCTCAAGTTGCCTGGTGGGGCTGGCTCAGCCGCAGGGTTCTTCAGATCTCTAATGTCGCTCAAACGGAAGGGTAGGTCTTATGTCTGTGAAGGGCACAGTTTTAGCTGCTGAGTGGGCTTTACTCTCATTTTAAATTTATGTTATCTATTTGTGCCTGTTTGTTTGTATGTATGCCAGGTATATGCTGACGACCATGAAAGCCAGAGGATGGTGTCAGATACCCTGGAACTGGAGTTATAGGCAGTTGTGAGCTGCCATGCCAGGTCCTCTGCAAGAGTAACAGTGCTCTTAACTGCTAAAGAGAGCTTCTGCACTGTGCTTTATCCCTTTACATTTGCCCCCTTACTGGGAAGTTGTAATTATCCTAAAGCATTTGTTGGTTTTTTTCTCTCATTTTCATTGGAACTTTTAAAAAATTATAAAACTGTCTAGATGAAGAAATACTTAAACCTGGGATGGTGATGCAAATCTTGTAATTGCAGCATTTGGGTGGTTGAGGCAAGAGGATCTGAAATTTGAGGGCAGCTTGGCACATTGTGAAATGCTGTCAGAAAGAGAGGAAGAAGAGAGGAGAGAAGGGAAGGGGAGGGGAAGAAAAGGAAAGAGGGAGAGGAGAGAAGATTATATATATATATATTCAGTGTCTGAGAGAGAATATGATTAGTTTAGGTAGTTATCAAGGGCATCTTAATTTTCATGCCCTATGAATATTGTACAAAAATTTTGTTTTTCAGTGATCTTCTGTTCTTCCATTCTCCCTCCCTTCCTCCCTCCCTCCCTCCCTCCCTCCCTCCCTCTCTCTGAGTTGTTCTCTCATTCTGTTGCCTACGCAGATCCCCCGAGGCTCAAATGATCGTCTTGCCTTAGCCTTTAGAGTAGCTGGGACTACAGGAATGTACTGCTCTAGTAAGTTAAAATGGTAGTAGAGAAAAATAAAGGGACATAGCAGGATAGTACAGTCAAGGAAGTCTGAACATTTTTTTTTTTTTGTTGTTGTTGTTCTACTGAAGATGAACTCAGGGCTACATCCATACTAGGAAATCTTTTTTTTTTTAAATTATTTATTTATTTATTATGTATACAATATTCTGTCTGTGTACCTGAAGGCCAGAAGAGGGCGCCAGACCTCTTTACAGATGGTTGTGAGCCACCACGTGGTTGCTGGGAATTGAACTCAGGACTGAGCCATCTCTCCAGCCCTAGGAAATCTTTTTACCACTGAGTTACATAGTTAACCCCTACCAAAACCAAACCAAAACAAAACAAAACAACAACAACAAAAAAAACCAAAACAAAACAAAATAAAACCAAAAAAACTATAGCTGGATATTGTGGCATATTGTGGCATACATTTTTAGTCCCAGCACTCACGAGACAGAGCAGAATGATCTCTGTGAATTTGAGACCAGCCTGATCTACACAGCAAGCTCCAGGATAGCCAAAACCTCATAAAGAGACCCAGTCTCAAAAATCAAAATAAATAAATAAAATGAAAAAAAAACTACAGTAGTTCACAAATTATTTTCATTTTATGGACTGCTTTGATAAAGTAGGTCCTTCCAAAAAAGCTTATCTAGCAGTAAGTGGTAGCCCTGCTCTGTGTGTATGCATATGTATGTTTCTGAGAATTCCGTACATGCATACAATTGTATTTGATCCTGTCTGCCTCCATCTCTCCAACTTCCCCTGGCCTCCCTCATGTATATCCCCATCTGAGCTTCATGTTCTCTTTCCTTCTTTTCTTTCAGTTTGTTTATTTTTAGATGATCTCATGTGTAGCCCTGACTGGCCTGGAACATGCTACATAGACAAGGGTAGCTTTGAACTCACCAGAGATCTACCTGCCTCTGTTTCCCACCATTGAGATTAAAGGTGTGTGCCACCTTGCCCAACTCACCTCCCCCCCCCCCCCCCTCGAGTTTTTCTCTGTGTAGCCCTAGCTGTTTTGGAACTCATTCTGTAGATCTGGGTAGCCTGAACTCAAGAGCTCTGCCTTCCTCTACCTCATGAGTGCTGGGGTTAAAGGCATGTACCATCACTGCCTTGTTCTTTTTCCTTTTTTAATAACCCACAGAGACTAATTTGTGCTCCCTGAATGCACACTGGTTTGGGAACATGAGGAATTTCCCAGAGGCTACACAGCAGTCATCAACTGCAGTAGCTCCTCAGCTAGGGTGGAGCCTGTAAAGCTGACTGGCTTGATCTCATGCAGGTCTTCTGCAGGTAACCATACTTGCCGGGACTTCATAGGTACGATGGCTGTTTCATGTCTAGAATAGAGCATGTCACAACCTTCCTCTCCACCCCCTGATTCCTACTTTTTTTTTTTATCCTCTTCTATTTCATGTTCTTTGAACTTTTAGGGGAAGAATTTTGATATTGACATCCCATTTAGGGTTGAGTACTCACAACCAACTCTTCAAAGCTTTGTGACCATTACGAGTCTTTACATTAACTGAGGCCCACTCGGAAAGGAAGGTGTTCTGACTGAAGTTGAGAGCAGCTCACATCTGTAGCATAAACATTTAAAGACAGTTTTGCAATTTAGCAAAACAGTAGTAGGTTGCTCCTGAAGGCCTGTGGACCTCCCCAGCCATGGGCTTTTGACCAGGCTTACAGTACCAGGTATAAATTCACTCCTGGAGAGCAGGCCTCAAAGCCAACAAGGAGTGTAGAGTTCTGCTTTTTACTCTTTTTAATGATTATTTTATTTTAATGTACATTGGTGTTTTGCCTGCATGTGTGTCTCTGTGAGGGTGTTGGATCCCCTGGAATTGGAGTCACAGATAATAGTGAGCTGCCATTTGGGTGCTGGGAATTGAACCTGGATCCTCTGGAAGAACAGCCATCTCTCCAGCCCTGGAGCACTACTTTTGATAAGATATTAAAGAGGTCCTGTTTTATTTTATTAAGTATTAAGAAAATCATTAAGGCAGGATGAAACATTTAAATATTAAAAGATCATATCCTGTACCAACTCTAATGAGTAATTGTCATGACTTCACAATCATGGTTCAGGTTCTTATTTTGTTAGTTTTTAAATATAATCTCAATGTGCTAGGTATTATTTTTTAAATAATGAAGTCTTGTTCTCTAGGAATTTATGATACTGAATTTAGAGAGAATTGACTTGACAGTTGCTCTGACAGCATTTTTGGGTGTGTTTCTAGTTTTTTTTTTTTTTTTTTTTTTTTTTTATTTTTCGAGACAGGGTTTCTCCGTAGCTTTTTTGGTTCCTGTCCTGGAACTAGCTCTTGTAGACCAGGCTGGCCTCAAACTCACAGAGATCCGCCTGCCTCTGCCTCCCGAGTGCTGGGATTAAAGGCGTGCGCCACCACCGCCCGGCTTCTAGTTTTTATTTGTAAACGAGGACTGCACTTTGGTTTCTTGGCTGCCTACACCCAAAAAAATTACACAAAAACTATATTAATTACAACACTGTTTGGCCAGTGGCTCAAATATTGCTAACTAGCTCTTATATCTTAAGTTAACCTATATCTATTATTTATATTTTACCATGAGGCTCGCAGTTTGCTACCTCACATCTTGCTTCTTGGGCGGCTACATGCGTCTCCTGACTTCACCTTCTTCCTGTATTCAGTTTAGTTTTCCGGCCTAGCTCTATTCTGCGCTGCCATAGGCCAAAGTAGCTTCTTTATTAAACAATGGTAATAAAACATATTCACAGCATGAAGAGGGGAATCCTACATCATTTAGTCTTGTTTTTTTTATTTTTGTTTACCAATCTTATGAAAACATTGAATGAAAGTAGAATGCTTGAATGCTTTTAAAATCATGGTGTTTGGGCTGGTGAGAAGGCTCCGCAGGTAAAGGCACCACTGCCAGCCTGACGACCTTGAGTTTGAGTTCCAGGACCCACAGAGTGGAAGGGAAGAACCATCTTCCATAAGTTGTCCTCTGAACACCATGTTTGTCATGCCCCTGCCCCCGAATAAATACATATGCTTAAGTACATTATACAATAAATAAATAAATAAATAAATAAATACATTACATTGATGGCCTTGTACTCTTTATGTAATATAGCCCTGTCCTATGATATCTTTTTTTTAGAAAAAGGAGTGGTATTTGGATCTCCACTGACAGAGGAAGGCATTGCCCAGATATACCAACTGATTGAATATCTGCACAAAAGTAAGACTACTCAAAGCTTCAATAGTCTGTGTTTAAGGAAGAATCACCAGGTTTCCTTTGAGAGTTGACTGATGGGTTAGTAGATGCCAACTACTACTCAGCAACAAAGAATTGAACCACTGATTTTCAGGTGGTAGATTTTAAAAATACACTTCCTTTTGAATTTCATGTCAATTATTGATTTGTTTTGCTTTCAAAGATGTAGATAAATTAGATAATGTCTATGAAACCATAAGTACCTCCTAGACAATTTTGAAGAATTCCTTGCGCCTAAAGAATTATGAGATTTATTCAAGAAGCATCATAGTTCCATCATCAGAATTCTGTGATTAACATATACTCGTCAGTTAATTCTCATTTATTTTATTTTATTTATTTTTTTCGAGACAGAGCTCATTGAGTTTTTAGTAGTCCTGCGAGTCATGTCATTGTTCTAAGAGCCCAGCATAACCAAGAACATGTAAAATGTGGGGTTTTGTATGACTTGATATGCCAGTTGTTTACCAATCAGGCATACCTTTTGACTTACTGGGTGTGAGACGCTGTGCAGGGGGAGCACAAAAGAGATTGTGGACTTACGTCTTGAAAGGGTTGGAGGTGTCTGGATTTGTGTGTATGTGTGTGTGTTTTAAGTTTTTTTTTTTTTTGGTTTTTCGAGACAGGGTTTCTCTGTGGCTTTGGAGCCTGTCCTGGAACTAGCTCTGTAGACCAGGCTGGTCTCGAACTCACAGAGATCCACCTGCCTCTGCCTCCCGAGTGCTGGTGTTTTAAGTTTTTAAGTGTTTTATTTTGGCAAGAGATGTGATTAAAAGCATAATCACCCATCAGGGTTTTAGAATGGGGAGATTGTAGGTTTTCAGCTTATTTGTATGATGAGAATTCCTGGCTTCCTTCAGCCCAGCTGCTGTGTGGATATGCCCTACTGGAGCACAGGGATGTTTGTGCAGCTTATTGTGGGTCCCATTTATTCCTTTGCCTGGCTCTGAAATGGGGATGCACAAAGATGGAGAAACATGGACAGGCTTCTTCCCGATCAAACAATGTGTCTGTCTACCTCTCTTTTGAAATCTCCTTACACGAGCTTAGAGCCTAGTTGGAAGGGAGCAGCTTATTTGGAATGACCTAAGCTTCCAGGAGTCTCTTAGCTGCAGGGTGATCTCTTAGAATTCTGAGTCACACAATAATGCAGAGATTCTAGGTTTATTCTTGGCTGAAAGAAACAGTTTATAGGAGCCACAAACGCCCATAGATGAGCTCAACTCCTTGAGAGTCTGTGAGGAACAAGGATAAAGGGATCATGAGATTTGCTTTTCTTTCATTTTACTTTTCAAGCTTTTTTTTTTGGCCATTGATTGTATTAAATTCAGTATTCAGTGGTACCTCAGGAGGATGAATGACCTTTGCAGGACTTCTTTTCAGTTTGAGTCATCTCTAGGTGCTCGGGGAATTTCAAGCTTCTCTAGAAATATTGACAAAATCTTGTTTAGCAGGGGTGCTGTGGAAGGTCTTTAAAGGGAAGTCATGTTTATACTGTGCACACTAACCATGATTCTCCTCTGTTTCCTTTTGGACATCCATGCTAAGCAGACTTGCGAGTAGAAGGCTTGTTCAGAGTACCAGGCAACAGTGTCCGACAGCAGCTTTTGAGGGATGCTCTCAATAATGGAACCGATATTGACTTGGATTCAGGAGAGTTTCACTCAAATGATGTTGCCACGCTGCTGAAGATGTTTCTAGGAGAGTTACCAGAGCCTCTGCTGACCCATAAACATTTCCATGTACACCTCAAAATTGCTGGTGGGTATAAAAAGTAAGAAAGGTGAAACTATTTTTTCAATTTAGTGAAGTCCTTTGTGATCTCCTATTGTTTGTTACTCACTGTGGTGCTGATGCTGCCTCAGACCTCATGATCCTGATGTACTTATAAATCTTGGCTAGTTAAGTTTGATTTGATCAATTGTCTTCTTCCTCTTCATTCTTCTCCTTTTAAAACATTGTTTTTTTAATTACAAGTATTCAGTGTGTTCATGTGTACGTGACATGACATGCATGTGGAGGTCAGAGGACAATTTTTGGGAATTAGTTCTCTCCTACCATGTGGTCTTGAAGATTCATCTCAGGTCACCAGACTTGGAAGCAAGTATCTTTACCTTCTGAGACATTTCACTGACTTTAAATATTTTCCTTTTAAAAAAATATTTTTTAAAGTTTTGTTTATTTTTATTTTAGATGTGTGAGTGTTTTGTCTGCAAGAGCAACAAAGTGCTCTTAACCTCTGAGTCATCTAAATTCCCTTAAATGTTTTTGATAAATTTCCTGTTGATTTTCATATCTCAGATGTAGTCCACCATAGTACTTAGAACATTTTAATTGCTCAATAAAAGTGTGCCTTCCCATGGGGTTGGGTGTGTCACTGGGTTTATACCTTTCAGATGGTTGCTGGTTCTGTGCTTTTGCCTTGGTTTGGAGGTTTTTCAGGTATTTCCATGCCTAAATTGAGGTCACCTCTGCCTTTGCAAGCTCTTCTTTTAAAAGCATTATTATTTGCTTATGGAGTAGGCAGTCTACCCTCATGATCAATATGGAAAATCTTCTTTCTCACCCTGTTCCCTAGCACCAGTTCCTTCCAGAGGCAACCAGTGCTGTGATGTCTAATGTAGTCTTCCAGAGGTGTTTTGTGCACTATGTATATATATTCTTTTCTTCCTCTGTTTATGTAAAGGCAGAATATTACACACATTATTCTGTGTTTGCTTTTTCACTTACTGTATCTTGGAGACTGTTCTATTCTTAGCTCATAGTTTTTTCATTCTTTGTGTCTATGTGGTAGAGAATTCATTCTTAAATTGCACAGCTATTATGCTACAGTAGGCTCTAAGTGCACACAGTGTCAAAATCCATGTGTAGTTTTCCACCCATGGCATTTCTTCTCTCTCTTCCCACCCCTTTCCTCCATCCTTCACCTTCTCTGCCTCCCTCTCTCTTTCCTTTTCTTCCTCTCTTTCTCACTACCCCTCTCTGTGAGATAAGTGCTCTTAACCTCTGAACTCTCTCCAGCCCTTCAGCTGAGACTTTAAAAGTCACATTCACTGGTGATTTTGATAATACAAATGAGGATGCATTACTAATATGCATGGAATTTTGCAGTTATATTTCAGAGGATTAAAGTTTTAGATCCTTAAAAAAGATTGGAAAGTATAAATGTTATGTTATGTGTTTGTTTTATTTGCCTTTCTTTTGCGCTCTTCATTTGGTCCATTATCTGGCATCCTCCACTGTGCTGCTCAGTGACTCACTGCTCTTAAGAACATATGAAGGTGTGGCACAGTTGGAGAGTCATCCTGTGCATGAGTCCCTCAGGCTTATCCTTTAGCCACCACCTATCTGACTAGGGAAGAGAAGAAGGGCTGACATGGTCAGAGGTGTGTGTGGACCTCTTGATTTTAATTCTGTTTGGTATTGCTGAGACATAGCTATAACTAACTTTTTGAGGCACTGCCCAAATGTTTTCCAAAGTGGTTACACTGGGGTTGGAGAGATAGCTCAGTGGTCAGTGGTTGAGTACTGGCTGTTCTTCCAGAGGACCCTGGTTCGATTCCCAGCATCTACTTGGTGGCTTACACCTATCTGTAACTCCAGTTCCAGGGTATCTGATGTGCTCTTCTGACCTCAGTGGGCAGTGCACACACAAGGTGCACAGACATACATGCAGGCAAAAGACCCTTACAGATTTAAAAAAGACCCAAAGTTATTACATCCTTTAATACTCCTGCCTGCAGTAGAAGGTTTATTGCTCGTGTTCCAGTATTTGTATTGTCAGTACTTTTGTTCAGATCATCCTAGTAGATGTGAAGTGGTATTTTGTGGTTTTTCTGATAGATGATTCAAACACGCTCAGGTACTGACCTCTTGTATGACATCTCCCTTCTTTCCTTTCTCTTCCTCCCCCTCCTTTTTTTTTTTTAAATTGACACAGCCTGCTACATTGCCTCAAACAATCCTTCTACCTCAGCCTCCCAAGTAGCTAGAACTATAGGTGTGTGTCACTGTGCCTGGCTTGTGTATGTTATTTTCTTGGAAGGGATGTCTATTCAGTTTGGTTTTTTTCTTTTGAGATAAGGTGCCATTATATGATTTAGGCTGCCTCTCAGCCTCTTGAGTGCTAGGCACATGAGTATACATCATCACACCTAACCTTCTACTTGAATCTTTCCCACATTTTAAAATCGGATTGTCTTTAGTTATTGAATTACAGTGACTTTATTTTTTGTGTTTTATGTTTTCTTTCTTGTGGTGCCAGGGCTCATGCTCTGCCTGCTAACATGTTCATAGTCACACAGGAAATACTTTGCAAAGCCCATTGCCTATTTTCTTTTCTTTTTATAGTATTGGTATTTGAATTTAGGACCTTCCTAAGGTATTAGCAGTTTTGAATTTCCTTTTTGATTGATTCTTTTATTCCTTCTCTTTCTTTAGTGGAACTTAGTGGGAAATAATAATCAATAATATCATTGACTTTTCTTGCTGGTCATTCCTTCCTTTTCAATAATTTTTTTTCAAGATTTGATGCAGTTTGATGATAAAGGAAATAAGACCAACATACCCGACAAGGAGCGACAGATTGAGGCCCTGCAGCTGCTTTTCCTCATCCTCCCTCCAGCCAATCGTAACTTGCTCAAGTTACTGCTTGATCTCCTGTATCAAACAGCGAAGAAGCAAGACAAGAATAAGATGTCTGCCTATAACCTTGCCCTTATGTTTGCACCTCATGTCCTGTGGCCCAAAAATGTTAGTATTAAGGGAAAGATCTTCAGGGCTTGGTTTTCTCAGGCTGGGCCCCTCCTGTGGTTGTACATTGGTGAGATTATCAAGGATCCAAGGTCCAGCCTTCATATTTATGATGTTAGAAGCTTAGGAGTCATCAAAGCTGAGGGGCCTGGTTCCTGTAACCTCACTGATAAGTCAGTCTCTAGTAATCCTGCATGACCACTTCTTTCTGGAATATTCTTTTTTTTTTTTTTTTGGTTTTTCGAGACAGGGTTTCTCTGTGGCTTTGGAGCCTGTCCTGGAACTAGCTCTTGTAGACCAGGTTGTTTCTGGAATAGTCTAGCTGCTAAAGAAGCTAGAATTATTTTTGACTAGACAGTGTGAATCCCATCTTAATAGGGATGCTCCTTGGCAAATCAGATTGATTTCTAACGATTGAAAGATTAATACAAATTAATTTCTAAAGGTTTAGAATAAAGTAGTGTGATTGTGTGAGATAATATTCTGAGCTGACAGAGCAGTCTAACCTGTCCCAGCAGTTTTACTCCCATATATTCAGTTTTCTTTTATAAAGCTAAATGTGCTTCTTACTGGGGCCATGGCTTCATTAGTGGCTTACATTTTAAAGAAGGTTGTTAAACAAAGGTTTGCCCTGGACACATGAAGCTCAGGTTCCCTTACCTTTACAAAATAGGCATTGATGGGAGATGAGATTATGAGTAGCTTTCCTGGGTTGGAAACCACAACCCAGATAGATTTGTTACCTGTATCTTTGTCCTTTCTGTGTAAAGTGGGCATGGAGTAGCTGTTACCAGTTACCTCATAAGTTGTTAGAAAAATAATAGAAATAGATTGTTATAGTGACTTTGGGAGGGTTTGAGAGTAAAAGAAATAAGGAGTCCAGGTGGTGGGGTGGTGGTGGTGGTGGTGGTGGTGGAGTGGTGTGGCATATGTCTGTGATCCCAGCATGTGGGTGTCAGAGGTAAGCAGGTCTCCATGAGTTTGAGGCCAGTCTGGTCTACAAAGCAAGTTCCAGGACAGCCAGAGCTATTACACAGAGAAACCCTGTCTTGAAAAACCAAAGCAACCAACCAAACAAACAAACAAAAATAAGGAAGGGAAAGTTAAGAGAGAGATTATGTGTAACATTTTATCTTAGTAAGTAACAAGTCAAAATGAATGGACTACTCTGAGCTAGGAAAAGCCAGAGCGGGTTAATGAGGAGCAGATGCACCGACATTTATCCACATTAGGGATCTCGAGTCTCATTGTAAAGGCTTTTGAATTAGCTAACCAAGTTCTAGAGGCCAGGGCATGAGGCTTATCATCAGAACAAGTGCTATAGTCTGGGTCTGACCCCTCCCAAACAACCAACCAACGGAGACAAAACCTCCAGTGCTATGGAAAAGAAACAAGCTGTAGTTAGAAAAAAAAGCATGTGAGGTTCCTTGGGAAGAGCAAACAGATAAAATAACAAGGGTGAAGGCATGGCATATACAGATGTTATAGAAAGATGTCAGCTCTAGTAGTGTTAGTAGCCTGTTCTCTGGATCTCTGCAGAGCCAGTGTCCTTGACGGCTGGAACAGACTCGCCTTTCTTCTGGGTGTGGTTTGAATCCTAGGTTAGATTTTCTGCTTAGGTATCTGTGAGCAGAGTAGGAAATGAAGAAAACTTAAAGACTTTCTGATCACTTTAGGGACACATGTCTATGCTATTATGTCATTTCAAGTGACATGTCCTGGTGAACACTTCTCAGTTCTTAATGCCCTTTGTTTGGTCTCTTCCCACTGACTAGGTCACTGCAAATGACCTTCAGGAGAATATCACCAAGTTAAATACTGGGATGGCTTTTATGATCAAACACTCCCAGAAGCTTTTTAAGGTAGGTAAGGGATGGCATTTGGCTGGTAACAGGACAAGGAAGGTGGCAGAGTGGGATCCTGGATGAGAGGTGCTGTTTGAGATCGTGAAGCAGAATGGATAGTGGGGAGGGCTAGAAATAAGAGCCAAGTCTTCTCTGTCCTCTGGCTAACTGGCTTTCTTCACCGAAGGAAGCACAAGCTGGTGGTTGCCTAGTCTTATTACTTGCCTGCCTACCCAAGTTCTGTGGGTTTGACTGCGCCTTTCATGTTACACTGTCTCTTTCAGCACCAGCAGGCGGTGTTTCTGAGGGATAAGTTTCTCAAGAACTTCTTATGTCTTTTGTAGATTTCATGAACTAAACGTTCATTACACAAAAGCCACATGTGCTAAACTTTGAAAGTAAAGTCCTCTACTTTGGTCTCCTGCTGAGCATCTGAGCTGCAATGTCTGAGTTTCCTAAAGGCTCCCTACTTCAGGGAGAGGATCCCAACTGTCCTCAAGATAAGATCTTTGCTCACGCTGACCCACTGCTGTTGCTAAGCATTCAGGAATGGTCGTTAGAGTGTACCTCTTTTTTTCCTTTCTTTTTTTTTTATTGATTTTTATTGAGCTTTACATTTTTCTCTGCTCCCCTCCCTGCCTCTCCCCTCCCCATTTAGCCCTTTCCCAAGGTCCCCATGCTCCCAATTTACTCAGAAGATCTTGTCTTTTTTCTACTTCCCATGTAGATTAGATCTATATATATATTTCTCTTAGTGTCCTCATTGTTGTCTAAGTTCTCTGGGATTGTGGTCTGTAGGCTGGTTTTCTTTGCTTTATGTTTAAAAACCAGCCGGGTGGTGGTGGCGCACGCCTTTAATCCCAGCACTCGGGAGGCAGAGGCAGGCAGATCCCTGTGAGTTCGAGACCAGCCTGGTCTACAAGAGCTAGTTCCAGGACAGGCTCCAAAACCACAGAGAAACCCTGTCTCGAAAAAAAAAAAAAAAAAAACAACAACAACAAAAACCAACATATGTTTAAAAACCACCTATGAGTGAGTACAGGTGTTTGACTTTGCACAGTACTCTACCCATTAGATAATGTTATGATTCTTTTTCTGTTGCCTAAAGAATTGTAGTCATATTAATCACTGAGCCATGTTTGTTTGTTTATTTATTTATTATGTTCTTCTCAGGCTCCTGCTTATATTCGGGAATGTGCCAGACTGTACTATCTGGGCTCCAGAACTCAAGTGTCAAAGGTAAGGACAGGAAACTGGTCTTCAAACAAGGGAAGGATTAAGATTAGTGAAGTTTTTAAACAAAGCGTAACATCATCATTAACTCAGTGCTTTTATGTTACAGTTCAAACTTACCTAATCATTTGTTTTAGCAGGGGTCAAGACTAAGAAGACAGTTGTGGAATTAAAATGCCCCTATGTATAATATACTTGCTTGCTTGCTTTCAGAGGTCCTCACTAGTGGATGATATTCTCTACATAAATGTCACAGCATAGATCATAGGTTAAAGTTTTCTGTAAAATCCATTGTATTTTTATAGCCTATGATCTAAGCAACCTGTAAATATCAAGTACATTATAGTAACAAAGGTCCAGTATTATATAATTCATTCTTTTTTGAAATTTTAATTTAATTAAAATATTTTTTTTTATGTGTGTGTAAGTTTACCACTTGTGTGCAGTAGCTTATGAAATTCAGAAGGTGATGTTGGATCCTCTGGAACTTGAGTTACAAGTGGTTGTGAGCTGCCATATGTGTTCTGGGAATCAAATCTGGGTGCTCGGGAAGAGTAGACAGTGTTTTAAACTGCTAAACCATCTCAGCAACCCGATTTAAATTTATTTATTGGTTTGTTTGTTTATTTCTTTGTGTGTGTGTATGTGTGTGTGGTGGTGGTGGTGGTGGTAGGTCTTGGTTTAAGCTCAGGGTTTCTCAGTGTGGCCTTGGCTGTTTTAGGACTGACTGGCTATATAGAACAAACTGGCCTTGAACTCAAAGAGATCTCCTTGCCTCTAACTCCTAAGTGCTGAGATTAAAGGCATGTGTCACCATGCCCAGCTTTTAATTTTTACTTATGTGTATGGGTATGTGCATGGGATATTCAGCCCATATCTAGTTCTATATAATTCATTGTTATTCAAGTTCATTGGTATGGTTAAACTGTCAAGTAGTTAAAAGATTTGAGTAGTTAAAAGATTTGTCACTGGAGAGGTGACACATGCGTGCGCACACACATGCACACACGCATACACACACACATGCACACACGCATACACACATGCATACACACACGCATACACACACACATGCACACACGCATACACACACACACACAATTTTTCTCACTCTCAATAAGAGGGAGAAAAAATGTATTCTAGATTGCTTTATGTTGCTGTGATAAACACTATGATCAAGTCAGCTTAGGGGAGAAAAGGGTTTATTTCATCTTATATTTCCAGGTCACAATCCATCACTGACAGAAGTCAGGCCAGTAGCTTAAACAGAAACCTGAAGTGGAACCCATGGATGAATGCTGCTTCCTGCCTAGCTAGTTTTCTTGGATAGTCTAGGCTCACCTGCCTAGAGATGCTGCACCCTATAGTGGAGCTGGGCCTTCCCACATCAGTTATCAATTAGGATATGGCCACAGGCCAGTCTGATTAAGGCAATTGCTCAGTGGCTGTTTCCTCTTCCCAGGTGACTGTTGGTTGTGTCAAGTTGACAATGAAAGTTAGCCAGCAACATTTAAGAACAAATGAGCTTAGAGAAATATATTATGCTTATGACAGAAAGTTATGTAAGCGTATTGAGCTGTAGCAGTGAGAAGCTGAGAAAGGCCTGCCAGCACCGGACTGACTTGTATTTAACCTGTGTTAGAGACTTGGAGACTGTGTTTTATGCTGTGTTTTCTACTCCTGATTCTTTCTCTCATCCAGCAAATATTTGGTGTGACTAAGAAACAGCATTTTTTGCCTTAAGAAAAAGATTTATTTATTTTATGTGCATTGATATTTTGCCAGTATGCATGTCTGTGTGAGGGTGTCAGATCCCCTGGAACTGGAGTTGCACACAGTTGTGAGTTGCCTTGTGGGTGCTGGGAATTGAACCAGGGTCCTCTGAAAGAGTAGTCAGTACTCTTAACATCTGAGCCATCTCTCCAGCCTCAGGAACATTTTAAAAACTAGTTTAACTAGAGTGTTGTTTTCCTTGGAGAACTGTAGCTTTTATTCTTCTTACTACTTCCATGTAGTTTGTATGGAAATGAGTTTGAGCAAAGGCACAATAGCCATAGGCTCTAGGGTAGGTTTATCACTTAAATGTCTAGATGTAGTTAACTTTCACCTTAAGTTTTTGTTTGTTTGTTTGTATATTGTTACTGTTCTGTCTGCTGGGACTAATACTTTAGAGTTTACCTATTGGATAGCAATAAGGATTACTTGAGATTAAAAAGTGTTTTGAAAACTGAAATCAAACAGCTATAATTCTCTATGGCAATATTCTAAATGCACGTTGATTTTCTGGGCAGATAATGGAAGTAGATTATTCAGAGGCCTTTATTAATCGTTTTTCCTTTATCTGGTAATTGTGTTAGGATTTTCCTTGTTCCTGGATATAGTAGCATGTCATGTTTCCATTTCCCACTTCTTTTGATCAAGGTTATTGTAAGAACCCAAAACAAAGCCAGTAGGATGTATTAATTTGTTTTTTTTATAAATTTTTCTGTAGGATGATCTTGATTTGACAACCTCATGTCATGCCATGTCCTTCCAGCTGTCAAGATCTCAGAAACGGAATAGGGTAGATTCTTGTTCTCAGCAGGAGGAGACCCAGCAACATACAGAAGAGGCTCTGAAAGAACTCTTTCAACATGTTCATAACATGCCAGACTCAACAAAGAAGAAACAACTTATTCGACAGGTGCCTGGATGCAGGGAAATTGGGTGGGCTCTAGGGGTCATCAGAGAGCACAGCTAAGAATCTCACTGAGGTTTCACTCTCATGTGGAGCAAGCTTTGGCTCAGCTAAAATAGCAGGCTTGTCCATGGAATCACAGTGTACTCCTGTCCTGGAGGGAGGTGTGGAAGTACTTGACTTTCTGCAGTTAACTGTGCTTAGAATATCTGTAATTTTGGCATGTACTAAATTTGCTTGGAGAGAACCAGTGTAAGACTTTAAGACAATCCTGAAGCCATTTTTGACAATTCTGAATCCTCTCAGCCTCTGTGCCATAGTGCTTCCCCTCCTCCCCTGGGAACCAAGGACCTAACAGCTACACTCGCACGTACTCAGTTCCTGAACAATTACCCATATACGTATGTTTTGGTTCAGTCCCCTGGGAAACGGGGTCAAAATGACCTCTTACCTCATCTGATCTGGCAACAGCTCTCCAGTCAATTATTGGTATTAGCCTTTTCAAATAAGCCAATCAGAATAGTCAAAGAACAATCCCCCTTGCTTCTGTGACCCCTTTAAAAGTAGACTGTACCAGCTATTCGAGGTCCCTCGGCTTCCCGAATGCTGAGGGACCCTGTCATGACAGAATTAATAAAATCCTCATGCTTTTGCATCGGCTGTGGCGTGTGAGATGGTCTCTGAGGGCGACTCCTTCTCGGTGTTTGGACGCTAGAGTCCAACATTTGGTTCCCTGACCGGGAATCAAGTCGCTCCCAGACACACTCTAGACCCAGTTGGAGGTATGAAGAAACGAGCTCATTTTTATGTCTGTTTGCGTTTCTGTTTCTGTGTAATTATAAATCACTAATCTGAGAATTGTACTTGCGCAGGGTCTGTATTGAAACGGGGCTAAGGGAGGAGGCAGATGTGTCCTGAGATCCCTTGCCCCAGCCCTGAAAGATGTTTCATGGGCATTTATGGGAGGGAGGGGCGACCAGGTCGCCCTAATCTCCAGGGGAGATGTGATCCTCCATCTGTATTTTTGGATCTGTTGCCGCGCGGCTTCTGATTTTGAGTCTATGTCTGTCTTTTTGTTCTTGTGTATTTTCAGTTCTACACCAGAGTGATGGTGAGAGCACCAGCTTCTGGTTTTGAGTTTGTTGTCTGTCTCTTTGTATTTTTGTTTTTGTATGTCGGTTTGTCTTTGTTAAAATCCACCTGCAGGAATTCAGAACCTGGCACCGGCCCCCTGGCTGTCATCAGTTTCCCTGATTCCGAAAGCAGCCCCACTGCTGGAGGAGGTGATGGCTGCCCCTCCCCAAGCCCTTTGTCTTCTTTCTTTCCTGTACAGGAGCAAAAGAAACCCAAAATCCAGGCACCTCTGGTTCTTCCTGATAACCAGCCGTAGTAGCTAACATGCATGTGTTACACTTGTAAAAGTGGAGAAGATGGGCATAATGGTGTGTGCGTGCACACACACACAAACCCCCCCCCCCCCAAATAATGAATGAGAGCTTTGGCTAAAGACTATACACTAACTTGACTCTTCCCCTTTTCTTCTGGAGATGCCTCTACAGAGATTCCTCTGACAGCACTGGAAGTCTGTATTCAGTCTTTTTCCCTTCACAGCAGCACTGGCAGACAAGAGTGAACTCGAGTTAGAGAGCTTTAATACCTTTGGAACATTCTTAGGAATGTAGCTCAGTTGGTAGAGTGCTTGCTCTACATTCACGAGGTCCTGGGATGGATCCCTGACACCTCATAAACTGGGAATAGCCTTCTAGTTTTATAATGTTGTAACTTGGAAGATGGAGGCAGGAAGATTAGGAGTTGAAGGTCATTCTTGGCCATAAAGAGAGTTGAGGCCAGCCTCTGCTACATGAGATTCTATCCTAAAGCTAAATCCTGACATACAGTTTGTTAAACTGAGGACTGTCATGGATTGTGCTAGTAACTTTCTATTTCCAAGGTAATTGATGCAGAATAATTCTGATTTACTGTCAGATCTTAGACCAGTTCATAAATCTTCTGGATCTTGGTTTCCTATCTGTAAACAGAGATAGTGAATGTCACTTCTGCTTTTGTGATTGCTTATCAACCTGCTTTCTCCATCTACACAGACTCTTTGTCTCTGGGTTTCTACATTCAGCTGTTACTTGCCCTAGACTGTCATTTCTTGAAGGGACAATATTAATAAAATGTACTGTGTATTTTCTTGTAGTTCCATAAGCAGTCTTTGACTCAAACACCAGGGCGAGAGCCTTCTACTCCCAGAGTCCAGAAGAGAGCCCGTTCACGCTCCTTTAGTGGGCTTATTAAGGTGAGCCTGCTGTGCTACTGCTATCCACATCGATTCTCAGGAAATTTATATCTTATTTTCTTGTGCACAAAGTGCTTAATTCTATTCCTTGGAGTTCTATAAATGGTTAATTGGTGAGGGGACAGAGTTTGGGAAGGTTTTTTCCAAAGCATTTTACTGTGTCACCAATGAAAGGAATTCTGTAGGAACTCTGTAGAGAAAGTAGCAACAGCCTGCTCTTCCTCCCTGTGTCTAAGGATGGGAATTTGGCTTCCTGCTTCACACTTTATCTCCCCACCCACCCCCCCATAGGGTTTCTCTGTGTCACAGCCCTGGCCATCCTGGAATCCCTCTGTAGACCAGGCTGTCCTTGCACCTGCCTCTACCTCGGGAGTGCTGGGATTAAAGGTGTGTGCCACCACCACTGCTCAGCCACACTATACACTTCTTTATGCAGTTTGCTGCATGTGTCGGGAAGTGAGCAAGCTGAGGACTAAGGAAATTGTTGGACAAATGGATTTTCTAATACCTCAGTGGATTTTGATATCTTTAATTTTGGTGAAATTAATGATTTCATTGCTGTTTTAGTCTCTTTCCATGCATCAGAATTATTAGAAATCTTGTTTTTAGAACAAATAGAAAATATATTTCTGTGTTGTTGCTGCTGTCCCCATGTGCAGACGACTAAACATGAGTGCAGTTAGTGAATGTTGCCATCAGGTGGCAGTAGGTGATTTGGTCACAGAGCTCTATTTCCATGCCTAACTAAAGCTGCTAATCCAGAGCGACTAGCTCTATTCTTACTTCTACTTTTCTTGAAAAAATTGTTTTAACATTGTTAAAGTATATAATTCTACAAATATCAAGGAGCATTTTGACTAAAACAACATTTTTTTCTCTAACAAATGTGTGCTTTTTAATTTTCTCCCCTTTTTGCTGGTCCTTAGCAGTTGCAATTTCATTTAGCCCTCCTTTTGATCCTTTTTATATTTTGCAGAGGTCTAGACTCCATTCTCCATCCTCACGGATGGGCCAGTGGCCTGTGGGATGTGATACTTGCTGCTGGCCAGTTTCCTTTGTTCTCCACAATGGAGTGAGAAGGCAGCTTGTGGGACAGGAGACAGCGTTTGCACGTCACCTCTCTGGTCAGGACATAATATCCAGTATCCAGAAAATAGAAGGAACTTGTGTAGCTCAGGATTGCTGAAAATCTAAGCTCATTATAAAACAGGCAAATAACCTGAATAGACATTTCTCTCTAGACACACACATGACCAAGAAAGACAGGAGAAGCTGCTCATCTCCATAATCATTTAGGGCATGTAAAGCAAACCCACAGTGCTGTGCACTTCACACCCAGGATGACTGCTGCCCCAAACAAAGTCAAAAATGTTGATGAGGATGTAGGGAAATAAAAACCCTGTACATGAGGGCTGGAGAGATGGCTCAGAGGTTAGGAGCACTGCCTGCTCTTCCAAAGGTCCTGAGTTCAATTCCCAGCAACCACATGGTGGCTCACAACCATCTGTAATGATATGTGGTGCCCTCTTCTGCCCTGCAGGCATATACACAGACAGAATATTGCATACGTAATAAATAAATAAATATTAAAAAAAAAACAACAAAAAAACCCTGTACACTACTGCTAGGCAAAGCTGTTGGGGGAAACAGTACGACGGTCTCGGGAAATCAACAGCAGAATTACTTCTTGATCCAGCAATTTCAAATCTGTGTATATACCAATGAATTGAAAGCGGGTCTGGGGAGTTATCTATATGCCAGTGTTCGCGGAAACATCATTTACAGTGGCCACAAGTGGAAGCAGGCTCACTGTCCATTGAAGGACTGAAGATGCAAAGTGTAGAGACAGTGGAAGGTTGTTTTTTTTTTTTTTTTTTTTTTTTTTGGTTTTTCGAGACAGGGTTTCTCTGTAGCTTTGGTGCCTGTCCTGGAACTAGCTCTTGTAGACCAGGCTGGCCTCGAACTCCCAGAGATCCGCCTGCCTCTGCCTCCCGAGTGCTGGGATTAAAGGCGTGCGCCACCACCGCCCGGCTGGAAGGTTGTTTATCCTTAGACTGGAAGGAGAGTCTGATGCACTCCTCACTGTGCTGGGCCCTGAATTATATAAGCCAGTCACTAAAGGCCGAATGCTGTACAGTTCTGCTGATTTGAGGTACTAAAGTGGTCAAGTCATGGAGACAGGAAATGATTTGTGACTACCTGTGGCCAGAGGTAAAGAGGGAATGAGGCGTTATCTTTTGCCTAGGAGGAATAGTTTGCGAATGGGTGAGCTGGCTGTGTTTTATGGCACTGTGACTGTAGTAATGCCACTGAAATGGGTAAGGTCGTAAACTTGATTGTAGTGCTTTTTGAGACAGGGTATTGGTAGTTATTGCTTGAAATGTAGGTGTTGTTATTGACTATTGCTTACCTCTTTACTAAGGGAGTACTTGAACTTCATAAGTTATTAAGATAAAACACTTTAGAACGTTATTTTTTCTTTTTCTTTTTTTGGTGGCATTATCAGCTGGATTCAGGGCCTCATACATGTGAGGAAGCTCTCTGTCATTGAGCTACATTCCAACCCCAGAACAACAGCTTTAAACACAGATGTTATACTAGCAAATTTTATAAAACAGAGGGGCAAGGTGTTTTCATTATGAATGAAGAGACTCAGTAGTTGCTCAGTAGCTCTGCAGTGAAGTTTATCTCCTAACCAGAGAGGTGATGTGCAAATGCTGTCTCCTGTCCCACAATCTACCTTTTCACTCCATTGTGGAGAGCAAAGGAAACTGGCCAGCAGCAAGTGTCACGTCCCACAGGCCACTGGCCCATTCATGAGGATGGAGAATGGATTCTAGACCTCTAAACATTTTTATTTGTGAGTGGTATTGGGGTGTTGCACATGGTAGATCCAACTCAGAGTGCCCTTTTGAAAATTCCCTGGAAGCTTTATAGGTAGTCTGTGGATCCTGGCATTCCCAGTTCAGCATCCTCAGGTGATTCCTTCCCTCTGAAGGCCTTATTTTTCTAGCGTGTGTGTGCGTGTGCGTGTGTGTGTATGTGTGAGCGTGCACGTGCACATGCACACATGCACTTTAGCTATTTGGTTTCTTTTAAAAAATAGCTATTTAATATTTAATAATCTTTTTTTTTTTTTTTTTTAAAGTGACAGACTCTTTTAATAGTAGTATGACTTAATGGACATATAGAGGTAAAGTTTTATTTTAAAGGAGCTTTTACATTCTGGCCTGGGATGATCAGGAACAGCAGTCAGTCAGGAAGGGTATAGCTAGCAAAACCTATTCACACTTCGGAAAGCTTGACAAGGTAGAGGAATGCTTGGCGGCAGTACATGTGTCTAGAATACACAAATCCCTAGCATTTCAAATAAACCTTTAAAAACACCTGTCGACTGGTTTTGCCAATGCAGGTAATTACTAAGGCCATTCAATAAGATAATACTTGACTGTCTTGTTATTAGACACACTCTTCAAAGCTTACTAGTAGTCGGGTTTCTGGGTTCTTAGTTAATGTAGAGATACGACATTCAGATTGAATATTTACAAAGTAATCTCACTACAATCACAAAACTTTGGAGGCTAGAGAGATGGCTCAGCAGATAGGAGAACTGCTGCACTTCCAGAGGACCAGAGCTCAGTTCCCAGCACCCACCTTGGGCAGTTTTCCACCGCCCACAATGCCAGCTTCAGGGCATCTGATGTTGCTGCCCTCTGAGGCTGAGATCTCACATGTGCGTGTGCATGCACACACACCAATAAAAATAAAAGTCTAAAAAAAATTAAGACTTTTAGAAATTTGCTTTTTTCTAGTTTTACAGAGGTGTGTCTGGTAGTGGGTTCTGCATCAGCCTTATTTTGGAAGAAGGTTTTCCTCTGGGGTATGTCATGTAAATAACTGATCACATCAGACTATTCTGAACCCCGCTGTTGATAGTTATAATGTAGAGTTTAATGCTTTAGTTTTTTAGTTCTGTTTAGTATTTTTTTCCTTTAGTGCTTTAGTTTTGATGATATTCTTGTTTTGAAATTCAGATTTCTTCTTCAGGCAAGAAAGGGGCTTCTCTAAGATATCATGAGCTGCTGCAGCAGGTCACATCAGCTTCCAGGCTGCTCTGAACACCTTATATTCTTAATGTGGGTCAGTGGTCATGTGACCTCCCCCCTCCCCCCGAGAAGGCCTGGGGCCTTTTATGGCTGTATTAGAAACTCTTAGAATAATTTCTGGACATTTACTAGTCATGTGTGAGGAAGGACAGAGAAGCAGAATCCTAGAGGACCCAGTCTGTGTTTCCTTAGTGGAGAGAGGAAGGGACCCTTAACAGCTACTAGAGAGAACACATTTTCCACAAGCCCCACACCTCCAAAAAAGCTCAACCCTCAAGAGTGACTGGTAGTTCTTTCAAGCTCACAGGTATACTGCTATTAGTTAATATTAGGTAGGTTAAATCACCCAGAGAAACAGTTCTCATTGTTTGCTATATGTCTTCCATTCCTTTGTATGACATGGCATGAGTCTGTGCTGAAGTTACCAGGATTTTTTTTTTAATTGAGGAAGTTGTAGTTTTGAAGATCATTACAGCTAAAAAGAGTAAATGCTCATGAACAAAATATTTTCTGTTTCTAAATCAGCGCAAAGTCCTGGGCAATCAGATGATGTCGGAAAAGAAAAACAAGTCCCCTACTCCAGAGGCTGTGGCCATGGGTGAACGGAAGAGAGTCAGCAAAGAAAATATGAGCTTGGTAAGAACACATTCTTTCCCTGTCCTTTTGTGGAAAGGAGGAGGCTAGCAGGCTGGCGCTTGTTCTGTTATGAGTCTCTGGCTCAGTCAGTGGTGCTTAGGGCCTTTTCTGTTGGCTTTCACCAAATCATTTGATATGTTTTTTTTCTTTTTTCTCCTTCCTTCCTTCCTTCCTTCCTTCCTTCCTTCCTTCCTTTCTTTCTTTGTTTCTTTCGAGACAAGGTTTCTCTGTAGCTTTGTGCCTGTCCTAGAACTAGCTCTTGTAGACCAGGCTGACCTCGAACTCACAGAGATCCGCCTGCCGGGATTAAAGGTGTATGCCACCACTGCCCAGCCATTTGATATGTTTTGAGTTCAAGAAAGATATAGCATGTGTATTATTAATGTGTGTTTTGATGCTATGATAAGCACTGACCAAAACTCAGGAAACAAAGGGTTTATTTATTTAGCTTACAGTGTACAGTCCATGATGGAGGGATGTCATTGCAGGAATGCAAGAGGCCATGGATACTGGCTTGTCCCCATGGCTCTCTAAGCTTCTCTCTCTCTCTCTCTCTTTCTTCTTTTTTATGTAGAACCTAGGACTATCTGCTCAGGGAGACATCCCCACAGTGCCTGTAACCTTCTACATCAATCATTAATCAAGAAAATGCGCCTAGGCTATTTTATTAAGCTAAGAATAGCCAGTTAAGATTAGCGAGGTATACTTACGTCTCTGTAAAGAGGCCCTGATATTTGATCATTTAAGCCACTGTACAGTTTTCTCATTACAGTTCTTTTCTGGCTCTCCAACTGTCACAATGACACCAACAAGATTGAAATGGTCTGAGGGGAAGAAAGAGGGGAGAAAAGGTAATTGTTGTGGTTGTCCTCTGCTCTTACTGAAAGCATTCTTGTCTGTTTTCTGTCAGCAGCGTTTCTTGTTTGGAATGGCCAAGGTGCTGTAACTGTAGTCAGAGGGAATTTGGATGGTTGTTCTACTTAGCACTGCCCTTAGGTACTGAGGGACTGTTTCAAATACAGACCTACTGGACAGACAGGTCCCACACATCAATATATGTTAAACCGGGTGGGATAAGTCCAAATGCTGTGTGAGGCTGAGAACGGCCATGCTGAGAGTCCGCTCAAGTCACCTTGCTCTTATGTGCAGACTTTAGACCTGGTCACCAAAGTTTTTCTTTTCTTTCTTTCTTTAAGACAGGGTTTCTTTGTATTTCCTTGGCTGTCCTGGAACTCACTCTGTAGACCAGGCTGGCCTTGAATTCAGAGATCCGCCTGCCTCTGCCTCCCAAGTGCTGGGATTAAAGGTATGCGCTACCACTGCCCAGCTTTTCTTCCTTTTCTGAGACATGATTTCTTTCTTTCTTTTTTTAAAAACTTTATTGATTTTTATTGTGCTCTACATTTTTCTCTGCTCCCCTCCCTGCTTCTCCTCTCCCCTTCAACCCTCTCCCAAGGTCCCCATGCTCCCAATTTACTCAGGAGATCTGAGACATGATTTCTTTTAGGTTTTCCAGGTTGGTCTTAAGCTTATGATCTTCTTCTGCCCTCTGAGTAGCTGGGATTTTAGGCATTATATAGGATTTTATAGCACCACATCTGGCTTGTTTTTGGCTAATTGAATTAAGTTCTCCACTCTTCTCTCTTGCATTTTGCATCTTTAGCTCCTTGATCTGCTTTCACAGCTCATTCCCAAAAAAGCATCTTTAGGTCTGAACTCTCTAGTCTCCTCACTTGCAATTCAGGGCCTGTCTGCCATGTATCTCTCTTATAGGACAATGTATACAATCCTAGCTGTTCTTGATACTGATGCTGAAATCACCTCCAGAAGAAGATAGTGCAGTGTCTTCTGTTTAGCAAAGCACTTCTTATTCTGGCCACTGTTGACACTTTGGGTCATAATTCCTTGTGTGGAGCTGCCTTGTGCACTGGTGATATCTAGCAGCTTTGATTCAGCAGATGCTACTAGCATCCTGCCCTCAGTTATAACTGAAAACTCCTCCAGTTATTACCAGGGTCCCTTTGGGATATGGGGCAACATTATCCCACATGAAAACACATGATAGAGCCCCCACTCTTCAAGGGGCATTATTTTTAGTAGTCAAATTCTTTAAAGGCCAGCTGAACCTTCCCTCCCTGTCCTCTTTGAGGCCTTGTCTGGCTAACTGAGCCGTTGAACTCTTATCAGCACTTCTAAAGTATGGGCACTGACTATGATTTATGGTATTTACTTCATCTGTATTGTCATATCTCTGCATCTGGTCTGAGGAGGCAAGGGTCAGACTTAAGGATCTATAATATCAGTTAAAGTACCTGCCTAGAATATACAGTGCCCTGGGTTCAGCCCTAGTCCTGCGAACACATGTGCAAGCACACCCGACTGCCCTCAGTCCTTTTGCTCTTCTCTTTGTGTCAGTAGTGTCAGTGGCTTGCTGCTCTTGGTTGTAGTAAACATTCTCTGGTGAGCAGGGCAGTGCTGGTAATAGTACAAGCTCCATGTTCACTTAGACTTGGGTCAGCTCTCCATGTTAGTGTTTGATAGCTTTCTATCCTGGGACAGGTTAGCTTCTGTGGGCTGCAGGTTCTGCATCTGTGAAATGACAGTGTACTACCTTCTCCATATAGGCAGCTGTTAGGATAGACGAGATGTACACAATGTACACAGGAACTGGGGGCAACAGCCGTCATCATAGGTGCCCCTACTGAGTGATGACTGCTGCTGTCACTAAGAAGACGTAACAAACTGGGGTTAGACCAAGCAGACTCGATGATGTTTACTTGGTGGAGGGTCACATTCTCACATATTTAATCCTAAATGTAGAGAAAATTCTAAGTGTAGATTCTGTAGCTTTTAGATGGGGTATTTTTAAAAAAATGAATGTTTTAATTAATGTCTAATCCTCTTATTTCTGTTTTAACCTAGGATTCCTCTGAAGGGTCAGCTAGAGTTCCCCTGTTGTCCACAGTGAAGTTCTCTTCAGTGGGACAGGTGTTACTTTTGTTCCCAGTGAAGCTTGCAGCTTGCTCCCTGCATTTTGAATTGTGAAAGCCAATCAAACCATGACCGACTGATACCTCTAACCCACTCACTGGATGTCTCTGAAGCTGTGCCTCTGAGAGAATGCTCTGTTCTCTGTGTTTGTTTTTAATATGAGGAAGCCACTCGACACCTACCAGCTTACACAGTGCAGTAGGTGGGCAGCTATGCTTAATCAGTGTGCTGGGGTCGGTTCTGTTTCTTCTTCTTAAGAATGGGAAATTTTATGTTTAATAGCTAGTAATATGTTTTAAAAGCACTGTCAGTCATAGTGGACTGTTATATATTAACTGGTATTTGGGACTTTTCTCTGTGTTGTTAGTAGTGAGGAAGTGACTGTTTATTTACTTGTTTTAAAAGCCATCATTTAGATTCACAGCCTACATGGATTTTAAGTTAAATGCCTTTGACCCCTTTTCATTTTGAGCTTGAGAAATCTCTGTATCTTATTATGTTCAAAGAATTTACAGCTTTCCTAGACATTCTATTATTTCTTATGTCTAATTTAGGGGATTTGACCTGGCAATGAAAAAGAATTCAATACAGTATATTTTAACAGATTTCAGCTACTGAACTGTACCCCCATGCCTCACTGTCTTCCCCTCAGTGATCTGAGAATGGTTGTGTGGTTGTTAACTTGCTTTCTGCATTAGTATCCTCTCACCTGAATATCTCTGGTTCCACTGACACCTCTGTGGCAGACTCCTGGGGCTTGAGAAGAGCCACGAACTGATCCATAGAGCTTGCTGCAATCTGCATGTGGTAGAGACTCTGAAGTCATGCCATGAGGGACTGGTTGGCCTTGGTAGGATCCTGTCACACATTCCTAGGTATCAAATACGCCACTCAACTGTCTCCTGAGAGCAACTTGGAACCAGGAAAGACATACATAGCAGTCTCTGCAGGGCCCATATGGAATAGAAGAGCCCCCACAGGAGCAGTTGTGGTGTTCCCCCAGTCATCTAGAACAGTTGCTCTCTGCCCCTCTGTCAGGATGGGCACAGGAGCCACTGCCCAGTGAGCATCAGGTGGAAGGTGATGTTGAGGTACAGGCTGACTCTGCAGAACTGTACAACCATCCTCACCCCACTGTGGGGATCCAGGTACACAGCAAAATACGGTTTGCCAACTTAGTGATAGACAATTGAAAATGCTGTGTTACTGTTGAAATGAGAGCCACCTTCAGGGTAGCAGAGGCTGACTTCGTGTCTGTCTGTCAGCCTCTTCCATCCTATTCTGTTTATTCTGTTGCTGTAGTAGCAATGGTAAAGGGAAATGTGGTAATTGGCTTTCCTGCTGGATAGTTTGGGAACAGTGGAGGTGTTTAAGTTTCTTTCTCGAAACGAGTTTAGGTCATCCTTAAAGATTTCATTAACAAGTTCATTTGTCTAGGTTTCTGTTTGACTCTTTTTGTTGTTACTAAGAAAAGGTTTATTTTTTTTTTTAAATAAATTTCTTGTGTTAGGTATATAGTGAGGTCAAACAGAAATCCTTTTGTATTACCGAATCAAAGAAGCTCTTCCCAGCATGAAGCTTCCTTGAAGTGTGTTCCACCGTGCTGTGCTGTGGCACTGGGCGGAGAGCCGAGCAGTGCCTTGGTGCCTGCAGGAGTTTGGCTCTGTTAGAGAGCGAGCAGGACCGAGGAGTCGAGTGTGAGTGATTGGGGTGGTCTGGGTGAGGTGGTGAGAGGGTTTACCCCATGCACATGCTTTTCAATTGCTGGCCTCTTGGGCAGCTACCATGTGTATTTGGGAATGTGTATTTTATTTATTTATTGGCTTAGTTATTCTCTTGCTTTAAGGGTATTATAGGTCATTTTTCTTCTTCTGAAGCTGTGATCCAGTGCAGAATAAACTTGAGGAATAGCATAGACTCCTGTGTCTTGTACTATGTGGCTGTTCTAATCCTGTGGTGTCTTCTGGGAACCTCAGATAAAAGCTCCATCATTGCTCCGGAAGATTGCTATTGCCCTTCTGACGGGGCGTACACTTGCTGTTTTTGAGCCAGTATTTAACTAAGGTTTTTAACATATATCTTTTGTTGTTGTTGTTGTTTGTTTGTTTTTTGTTTTTTGTTTTTGTTCTTTAGGCAGGGTTTCTCTATGTAGCCTTGACTGTCCTAGAACTCGCTCTCTAGACCAGGCTGGCCTTGACCTCAGAGTTCTCCTGCCTCTGCCGGGGATTAAAGAAAGGCACGTGCCACTACTGCCCAGCTAACCTAACCTGTGTCTTAAAAGATGTTTGTTGTGTTTACTTTTTATTGTTGGAGCAATCTCTTTGGAAGTACTTTTCCTTTCTTTTTGGGGTTAATTTTACCACAGGCTTTGATGTTGTGTCAACATAGGCTAGTATATTTGACAGAGGGCCACAAGAATGAAGAGATAGATCATGTTGGATTTGGATCTGCACTGGGTGAATGAGTGGAGGCTGAGCCTTTACCTAATCTTTCACAGAAGTGTATTTTCTCACTGAGATCAATAATCAGGTTTGAACCTCCCCTTCCCCAACTCATACCCACTGTGAAGGAAACGAGAATTGGGAGACATTGATTGTACCAAGCTCCAGACGTTATAGAGGCATGACTGTTGAGTTCTGAGGGAAGCCACAGTTGACCCTCCACACAGAACGTGCTTCACTTGGAAGGTCCTCCTAGAGCAGTCAGGATTGCTGAAGAAGCACCCATGGCAGACTCATTGTCAAAAGCAGGCTTTACTAACAGCTAATGCTGAGAGCAGTGTGCAGTTGATGGAGGTGAGCTAATAAGGAGATGGAGGATAAATAGCCTGAGTGCTTGTGTCACCATGGAAACTGGAGTACATGAGGCCATAGCCCAAGCTAAAGAACCTCTGACATGCGTGGACCAGTGGGCTGTAGAGAAGGCATTCTCTCACCCAGGGCCTTTCAGCAAGGCTTGCCTGTGCTTGCCATGCGCTCGCTCACTTGACCCCCAAAAGGTTTCTTAAGAGAAGGTTGCACCTGTTTGTTACTTTTGGTTATTTTGCATATATATATGTAATTATAAAGAAACAGCCAAATATATTGTTTTTATATCTATGTAATATTCTGAAATTAAATTTCTGTTTCCTATCTGTGTGTTCTGACTGGTCTCTTGGCTGACATTACTTTGAAGAGAGGTGGCTTCTTATTCTATGGGACATGAAACCTCTGCAAAGTGCTCTTCTTTGGTGTGTTTCCTGGGGTGGGGGAGGGTTCAGGAGGAGTGGGTCCTTAGTGATGGAGATTTGACTAGATGAGGTGGCACACACCTCTAATCCTGGTATTTGGGAGGCAGAGGCCAGAGATTGTGAGCTGAGGCCAGTCTGGATTACATAAGCAAGGTCATTTAAACATAAAACAAAGTTGAGGCTAGGCATGGTGGCACCCACCTTTAATCCCAGCACTTGGGAAACAGAGGCAGGTGGATCTATGTGAGTCTGAGGCTAGCCTGGTCCTGGAGGACAGCCAGGGCTACATAATAGACCCTGTCTCAAAAACCAGACCAAACCAAAAACAACAAAACTTTGAGCTCTAGGGTAGGTGGCCTGTTCCTTGAGGAGAACAAGTTTTCTAAATTACTGTCACAATATTCCATATTGTGGGGAACAGTAGCTTTGAACTGTATGTCCCAACAGATTCCGCTTTACAAGGTACACCCATCTTCCTTTTAAAATGTCTAGAAATAGATAGTTTTTACTCTTTGTGCTTGTTTTTAAGGAGTGGTTAACTCAGGCAAACCAAATCTGTGAGTAAAAGAGGGAAAGGAAACCATCATGGCCAGCGTGCTGAAAAGAGCTAGTTCAGACCAACTCGGAAGACATCGGTGCACACACTGACCCAGCTGGGGCTCTCTGGACTTGACGGCTATGGCAGTTACAGACTTCAGTTTGTACTCGAGACAGTCGCAGTCACCGTGCTTGACTAATATCTATGGCAGTGCCTGGGGGTAGAAATAGCCTGAAATAAAGTGTGATATGAAACGACACGCATTGTTTGTTGACAAGAATACATTCTGAAAAATGCATTATTACACAATCTTGCTGTTGTGTGACATCATAGAGTGTACTTACATATGTGGCCTCAGGAGATACAGTAAACAGGATGTGAGGATGCCCTACAGAAAGTTTTTTTTTTCTATAAATAGAGGAGTCCTCCCTAAAATAATGATAAAAAGTATAGCATAGTAAGTGGTAAAGCAGTAATGTGGCTGTTTACTGCCAGGAACCAGTGTGTATTGTTCATAATTGTATGGGGCGCACTTGTAGCAGGTGGCAGGGTCAGTCATTTTCCATAAGCACCATCGCAGATATGTAGCACACCGCTCTGTTGATGACAGTGGGGGTTCCAGCTCTGTGATACTCTTAGGACCACACTTGCATACAGTTTCTTGTTCATGTCACCCACGGCATGTGACTGCATGTATTACAGTGTCTAGAAGGGGGTCATAAATATAGGTGCTTGGATGTAAGCATCAGAAGAGCAGAGCCGGGGAGAGGGCTCAGTGGGTGAGAGCGCTGGCTGTACGCACATGAGGAACTGAGTTCAGATCCCTGCACCTACATAAAGTCAGTGTCCACTGGGCGGCTGCAGTCACAGTGCTGAGGCAGGGTGGACAAATGGTGAGGTCCAGGCTCAGTGAGAGCCCCTCCTCAAGGGCACAGAGTGGAGCGTTAGAGCAGGATGCCCGACGACATCCTCTAGCTCTGCATGTGCACAGATGTGGGCACCTTCTGACTCGTGCACACACATGCACACACATGCAGCATACACAGGGAAGATGAGTCCAGACAGGAAGCTTCAGCCCTGCCAGATGGCATCACTGAGGACAGAAAGCAAGAGAAAAGCAGGGGCCATTTCTTCATTCCTCATAGGCTTTTGGAGTGCTTCACACCTATGTGTGCTGTGTGTGTGTGTGTGATGTGACCCGACCCATGGGTGACTGGGAAACTCCACTGACTCCACTGTGCAAATATCGTGTCACCCCCCCCCAAAAAAATAGGTTCTCTGTATAACTTTGGAACTCACTCTGTAGACCAGTCTGGCCTTGAACTCACAGAGGTCCACCCGCCTTTGCCTCCTGAGCTCCTGAGTGCTGGGATTGAAGGCGCATGTGCTACCATCGCCTGGCTTTTTTTTTTTTTAGATCTATTCAGTGCTTTCTGGCAGTGACGACCTCTCTACAAGAACATGCCTCTCACAAAGGATCTCCTTCATCCCTCTCCAGAGGAGGAAAAGAGGAAACACAAGTAAAAGCACCTGGTGCAGAGCCCCAATTCCTACTTTATGGATGTGAAGTGCCCAGGATGCTATAGAATCACCACAGCCTTTAGCCATGCACAGACGGTAGTCTTGTGTGTCGGTGCTCCCCTGTCCTCTGTCAGCCTACAGGCGGGAAAGCAAGACTGGCAGAAGGATGCTCCTTCAGGAGGAAGCAGCACTGAAAAGCACCGGATTCGAGATGAGTGGGAACCATCCCAATAAACACATTTAGGATAAAAAAAAAAAAAAAGATCTATTCAGTTTCACCCCTACATTGTGCTGTGCCCGTGAGCAGTGGCTGCTGTGGGGGAATGTCAACTTGAAAGTAAACGCCACCGCTCTATAAAGGGGTCCAGCACGAATGGAAAGAGGACTGCTTCATAGAATGTATAGTGGAAACTGGCCTTATGTATTATGTTTGAACTTATAGGTTGTTTAGGACCAGAATAAACTATTTTATATTAATGTCAAAATAATTGAGAGGCTGGAGAGACGGCTTATTAGTTAAGAGCATTGACTGCTCTTCTGGAGGACACCGATTTGAGCCCCAGCACCCACAATGGCAGTTCACAACTGTCTGTAACTCCAGTCCCAGGTGCTCTGATGTCCTCTCTGGCTTCCACAGGCACCAGGCAGGCCCATGGTGCACAAACATGCATGCAAGAGAAGCACCCTCCACTTAAAGTGCATTGAGAAATGACTGGAGGGGCTGGCGAGATGGCTCAGAGGTTAAGAACACTGGCTGTTCTTCTAGATCAGTCCTGAGTTCAATTCCCAGCAACCACATGGTGGCACACAGCCATCTACAAGGATATCTGGTGCCAACACTGTATACACAATAAATAAGTTTAAAAAAAAAAGAAATGGATGGATAAACATGAGAAACAGTCAGTCTGCATTTGTGACAGAAACATGGGAAGTTAGCTCCTAAGTTGGTGAGGGTTGCCATGGATGCGGAGGTGCAGGGGAATCAGGACAGGCCAGTCTTCACAGTTGCTGGAGATGGGTGGAAGGGAATGGAGCAGGCCCTCAGCACAAGAAGTGGTAGGGGTGGGGCTAGCATGCAGGGGTGCAGAGCAGCAGAAGCCAGCTGAAGCACTTCCTGAAACATGGTTGGGTGAAGCTCCAGGAGTTCCTGGCCTAGGATGTCTGAAGCTCCAAACAGTCATTTTTAACCAGTTCCCAGATGAACAGATTGTTCCAGGGACCACACTTAGAGGTGTGGATGTAGGGGAAGCAGTACCTGGGTACTTTTGTGTCCAGTGGCGGGGTCTACTAAAGGCTACCAAGGGAGAGGAGGATCATGGGGAAGAAGGCAAGTGTGGGCAGGGTGACATGGGGACAGCAGAGGAAGAGCAGCTATGAGCGGGTGTCCTGTGCAGTAAGCACAGTGGGCACAGAGTGGGGGTGGGCAGGGCCCGGACTGAGCTGCTCTCCAACTATGAGGGATGCTAATCAGTTGGAGACCCTGCTAGTCCTCAGTTCTGAGGGGAGGAATAGCACCTTTTTTTTAAAAAAAAATCTGAGCACCCACTGCACCTCAGGCATTTGATATCCCGTGTCACAGGGGAGGTGCTACCTTGGGAGCTAGAGAACTGTCCCGTGTCCCCCCCCCCCCCCCCCCCGCAGACCTGTAGTGCAGTCAACCCTGGGCTTACAGGTAGTATTATGGCCCTGCTTCCTTCGTCCATCTCAAAATGTCTAGTCAGTAGAAACAACTGTTAGATGTTTTAACTTTTCCCCCATACTGAGTCTTCAAGATCTAGCGTACATTTGCACAGGCATTATATCTCAATTCAGAAAGCCCACATTTAATTTCCAGCGGTCACTCAATAAGCTACATGTTGCCTCGGGATAAAGTTGTCTTGTGTGTCTGTAATCACCGTTTTAGCCACAAGATGGCGGAAGTGACCTTTTACTCAATGCATTAGGCAGTAAGCGGTGGAAAGGGGGGAGACGCCCCTTAAATCTTCTTGTCTTTGGCTTATTTTAGACAGAAGTGACGTGGGTTAAAAAGATCCCAGAGCATTAAAAAATTAGTCTAGAGCAGATGAGCTGTCATTCCAGGATCCACATGGCGGAGGGAGTGAGCCAGCTCCCACAAGTTGTCCTCTGGTCACATCAGTGTTGTGAGTGTGCATGTGCACGTGTGCACGCGCGCACACACACACACACACACACACACACACACACACACACACACAGAGAGAGAGAGAGAGAGAGAGAGAGAGAGAGAGAGAGAGAGAGAGAACTTTAGTCTAGGAATAAAACACCTGTTTCTTCCTGTCTTACAGGCTAATATTCTCGCAGAAGACATTTTACTAAAAGGCAAAAAATTAAATGTGCAAATTTAAAGCTTACGTATTAAGATGTAATAGTGGAAAACAGAAGAGGAATTGTTTTAGGGGAGCAGAGGGACCAGATGAGGTCACCAATGGGGAGGGTGAACACAAAAAAGAACAGCAATGAAGCGTCGCTGGCCAAGGCTCCCCTTGCGTTTCCATTCTGTATCGATAATGAGGAAACAGCCTGGAGAAGCAAAGTTCTCTCCTGTCTGAGGAGTCCAGTCCAGCAGTGGGGGCTGGAAGCCCGGCCTCGGTGTCTCTTGAGAAGTGGCAGCAGTTACAGCCAGCTCAGCATAGACTCAAACTTCTGAGCCTGGGCGCTTGACTCTTGCTAAGCTGGTTCGAGACTGAAGACTTACCTATTGCTGCTGGGCCCAGAGGAGGCCCTCAGAAAAGGAACTGCCTGGGTGGGAAAAGGCAGGAAAGTGTCTCGCAGGTGGTTTAGAAGGTCGTGGTGGAGAGGGGCCAGGCAGCCAGCCCTCTGCT